AATTTCACAGCTGGATCACCGCAAGAAAATTCCGACCAGCAACTATATTCCTGGAACCCCCCACCCCCACCCTACCCACCCAACGGACCCCACTTCCTCCTGCCATTTTATTCTAAAGCGTCTGCATTTTTCTCGGTAATTACTACGCGCGCCAGCGCGATCTGATCGAGGCTAGGAAAACAATTAGAGCGCCAGCATCTCCGGCTCGCAGCCTCCGGAGGGAGCGTGCGCTAGAAGAATAGCGAGCATCCGTTGGTAGTGAAGCCATTAGTAGAATAGTAAGCGCACGCATACACGAAGTCGGTGCAGAGCAGCGCTACTCTAGTCAGCAGTGAATTATTTACACCTTCCCGTAGATAGGGATGCGTATACGCATATTATTATAAGTAACACGATGCGACTGCCCGGTAAGTCAAAGGATCTCACAGTGCTACTACGAACTAAGATGTACATTTCGTATTCATAGGTTCACGGCATGGTAAACCACTATAAGCCCGGTAAGCCGAATGATCTCAATACAACCCGGTGTATACTGAGAAACGCTAAAGTAGCTCAGCAGTTCGCTAGAGCAAGTGTAGGCTATAGTTCATGCCGAGTGGTCAGTAGAGATGACAGGCTTACGGCTGATGTGAGAAAACTGACGATCAGTGACTCTCTAAATCTTCACTAGAACAACTTCTATTCCTGATTACTACTGCTCGTAACACGTAACATCAACGTGATCCTTCAGCACCCGATGGCAGGATTTCGCTAGTGCATCTGTATTGCTGTTGCTGCTGCTGCTGCTGCTGCTGCTGCTGCTGCTGCTGCTGCTGCTACTGCTACTGCTAAGATGTACATTCAGTATTCATGGGTTTACGGCACGGCAAACCACTATATAATAGTCGCACACACCGCTATTACACAATTGAGCAACAACTCTACGAGGGGCACTTACATGCTCTGCTGTGGATCGATCGTCTGACGTATGTACATGGTCATGATGCAGCGTGGCGAACTATGAGGAATTCCAACGCACTACAACTACACACACCGGCGCTCGGTGGCCGGACACACGCGGTCAGCAGCAGAAACATACGAACTCGATGTCTGATGGGTTTACCGTCTGATGAAACACGTCGGGACCGACTAGACTGACTGCATGAGTCGTTGAGAATGAACCCTTATCAGCATTACCATACACTACCCTACCCACGCGGCACTGCACCGACCCTACCTCTAATAGATAACTTACGCTGAGCAGTGCAGGCTGTATAGTAATAAGAGCTACACCGCCTCCACGCGTCGAACATCTTCAGCATCTGTAGAGCGACACTCCCGACAGGAAATCGTCTCTTTAACAGTCCCAAGGGCAGCAAGTACAGTTAAACCCTCCTTATAATAACGCAATAAAAAAATACACGACACCGCCATGGCGGGAGGGAGGGAGGGAGGGACCCTCTACCGCTGTCCCTGAACTGCAGAAAGATTTTTTCCGCTTTATCTTTTGCTCTTCTTCTCTCGCGAATGACCCTGCGACTTCACTCGCAGATTGAATATAGGAGCTAGCGCAGTACAGTCAGAGAGAGGGACCCCCCTCGTAGGTTTCACTTTACTCTAATAGAGTCAGTTTGCGTTGGATGCGCTGTGTTACCGGGACGACAGCGGGAGAGGAAGGCTGACTAAGAGCAGGGGCTAGACGGACGATAAAACGGCGAGAATGCGAAAATGTAAAAACCAGTAGTTCGATTCTTTGCGCTCACGATGCATCAAAACTCCAAGACGATGTCGGGGGAAGAGAAACGATAAACGAGCAAAACAAGCGAGACGGTAAAACATGTTCGTGAAGACATCTTGCTGCTGAGCTGCATGAAGTTTTAGTACAGTGGTAAGGAATGGACGCGGAAGAAATGTCGCCTTGTCATGTAACTAAAATAACAGCGTGTTGTCGAGAGATTCGGTGCTATTTTGAAAACAGAGTAATAAAATCCGTAGGAGTTACTCTGTAAGTAGTGAATGATAACAGAGAACGATAAAATAAACGAAAACCTTACCCCTTATGTACCGATATATATGCATGCATCTGAATATTTAAAACACCACAATATTTAAACAACTTTTTAGGATTAATAATAAAATGTAACAACCATTCTAAAAACAATCATGGTACGCTTTAGCATCGTAAAATCCTACTTCGATACAAATACGATAATAAATGGTCAGAGGAATTAATATATATATTATGAGACATACTTTGTTACGAATATTCTCTTATTTCCCCACAAATATTCTAAAAGTATACTAAATAATCTAATGTTAGTAGGAGAACACTGCGCAACAGAACCGAGCTTACCTTAACCTTTGGCACCACATCCTTCATGCAACTGTTGCAGTTCTCCTCGAGAAGACTCGGCAGGTTGTCAATGACGCTAATTCGCTGCACCTCCTGACCTGAGCTGCAAAGGGACAGACGACAGAATGGGGCGTCAGCGCGGAGTACATAAAACCGCATTTCGAGTAAATGTTATCGCCGGGGAATTATTATTATCCAGCGCGGTCTCTATTTATCGCTTCCCTTCGCGCGTCAATGACTAATAAAATGCAGTCTTCCGCACCTGACGAAGTGTGTGTAATGTAGTGTAACGATGACGGTCACGTGCGCGCGCGCGTGTATTGATAAATACGTAATATGTCAATAGCAATAGCACAGCGCTCGTTGTGACGTCAGCGCACACATGGTGACATCACGTGAATATACATCGACATCCTTCGGTATAGGGCACGAGATCCTGTTATGATTCATTTGCGTGTGGTCGAGCATAAATAAATCATACTCATAGTATGCTGATGGGAGAATGCTTTGAGTAGATGAACACCAACAAAGTAAAAGGCTAAATATAAACAATGGCAGTTTTCTATAACGTATCAGTGAAATCCTACAGGTGTCGTTTCAACTGAGGTTTCCTCACATTACCCATTTCGTCACCAACTCGTAAAATTCTCGTATATATATATATATATACCCTGTCTGACTCAGAAATCTGAATTTCACAGCTGGATCACCGCAAGAAAATTCCGAACAGCAACTATATTCCTGGAACCCCCCACCCCCACCCTACCCACCCAACGGACCCCACTTCCTCCTGCCATTTTATTCTAAAGCGTCTGCATTTTTCTCGGTAATTACTACGCGCGCCAGCGCGATCTGATCGAGGCTAGGAAAACAATTAGAGCGCCAGCATCTCCGGCTCGCAGCCTCCGGAGGGAGCGTGCGCTAGAAGAATAGCGAGCATCCGTTGGTAGTGAAGCCATTAGTAGAATAGTAAGCGCACGCATACACGAAGTCGGTGCAGAGCAGCGCTACTCTAGTCAGCAGTGAATTATTTACACCTTCCCGTAGATAGGGATGCGTATACGCATATTATTATAAGTAACACGATGCGACTGCCCGGTAAGTCAAATGATCTCACAGGGCTACTACGAACTAAGATGTACATTTCGTATTCATAGGTTCACGGCATGGTAAACCACTATAAGCCCGGTAAGCCGAATGATCTCAATAAAACCCGGTATATACTGAGAAACGCTAAAGTAGCTCAGCAGTTCGCTAGAGCAAGTGTAGGCTATAGTTCATGCCGAGTGGTCAGTAGAGATGACAGGCTTACGGCTGATGTGAGAAAACTGACGATCAGTGACTCTCTAAATCTTCACTGGAACAACTTCTATTCCTGATTACTACTGCTCGTAACACGTAACATCAACGTGATCCTTCAGCACATGATGGCAGGATTTCGCTAGTGCATCTGTATTGCTGCTGCTACTGCTGCTGCTACTGCTGCTGCTGCTGCTGCTGCTACTGCTGCTACTGCTACTGCTAAGATGTACATTCAGTATTCATGGGTTTACGGCACGGCAAACCACTATATAATAGTCTCACACACCGCTATTACACAATTGAGCAACAACTCTACGAGGGGCACTTACATGCTCTGCTGTGGATCGATCGTCTGACGTATGTACATGGTCATGATGCAGCGTGGCGAACTATGATGAATTCCAACGCACTACAACTACACACACCGGCGCTCGGTGGCCGGACACACGCGGTCAGCAGCAGAAACATACGAATTCGATGTCTGATGGGTTTACCGTCTGATGAAACACGTCGGGACCGACTAGACTGACTGCATGAGTCGTTGAGAATGAACCCTTAAGCCCTGTCTACACTAGCAAACTTTAGTTTGCAAACTCGAGCAAACTCGAGCAAACTCCGAGTTTGGCCAGAAAAGTTTT